CAGGTGCTTGTGAAACCACAACATTCCCGAGGCTGCAGGAAGTTGGATGACTATAACACTTGCTCACTCACAGCAGCTCCGGCCTGTGTCTGATCCCTTCGCACTATCCATCGGCAGAGTGGAGCCCAATGCTTTCACTCTCTATGTCTGGGATCAGCCTGATGAGGCGACAGGCCAGACTCTAGTACAACCTTCTATATGCTGCAACTAAGTTCAACTCAGTAACAAAGTGTGTCAACTGTCACTCTGAGTTACTGAGTGTGAACAAAGGGAGCGGGAAATCTGCTGCTGCAGAACAGAAGCAGTTTTTATAAAAACGACTTCCTGATATTGTGTGGACTGCACTAAACAACTTCTCTGTTGTGTATGCAGCCCCTGCTCCTGCCACATTACCTCTGGCAGCGAGGAAAGCTACAGCTAGAACTTTCCAGAAACTTTCCCTCCGGAGAAGGGAAGAGGTAGAAGCCACCCAGTGCAAACCAGACAGTGAGTGCAGCTCAGACGCTCCCTTTTCTCAGGCTGCATCATCAATAGGCCCAACCATGTTCAGCCGCCTTATCAATGACCTTCCCTCCTTCATAAGGTCAGAATTGGGGATTTCGCTGATGATTGCACAATGTTCCGCACCATTTGTGACTCCTCAGATACTGAAGCAGTCCATATTCAAATGCAACAAGATCTGGACAATATCCAGGCTTGGGCTGACAAGTGACAAGTAACCTTCGCGCCACACAAATGCCAGGCTATGACCATCACCAATAAGAGACAATCTAACCACTGCCCCCCAACATTCAAAGTGTTACCATCACTGAATCCCACACTATCAACATCCTGGGTGTTACCATTGACCAGAAACTCAAGTGGACTCACCACATAAACACAGTGGCTAAAAGAGCAGGCCAGAAGCTGGGGATACTGAAGTCAGTAACTCACCTCCTGACTCCCCAAATCCTGTCCACCATCTATAAGGCACAAGTCAGGAGTGTGATGGAATACTCCCCACTTGCCTGGATGGGTGCAGCCCCAACAACGCTCAAGAAGCTTGATACCATCCAGGACAAAGCAGCCCGCTTGATTGGCACTACATCCACAAGCATTCACTCCCTCCAACACCAACGCTCAGTAGCAGCAATGTGTACTATCTACATGGTACACTGCAGAAGTTCACCAATGATCCTCAGACAGCACTTTCCAAACCTACAACCACTTCTTTCTAGAAGGACAAGGACAGCAGATACAGGGGAACACCACCACCTCTAAGTTCCCCTCCAACCACTCACTGTCCTGACTTGGAAATATATCGCCGTTCCTTCTCTGTCGCTGGGTCAAAATCCTGGAATTCCCTCCCTAATAGCATTGAGGGTCAACCCACAGCAGGAGGACTGCAGCGGCTCAAGAAGGCAGCTCAACCACCACCTTCTCAAGGGTAACTGGGGATGGGCGAAATAAAATACTGGCCCTGTCAGCGATGCCCACATCCTGAGAATGAATTTAAATAAAGCAGAATAGTTTGGATGAAAGTCACTGTTATTGACATCGCTGACCAGTTTTATGAATGTAGTTTCCCTTTGCATTCCTCTAGTCCTTGTCTTTTTGTGGAACCCTTCCCTGTGGATATGCCTTCAGCTCCCTGCTCCCTAAACTTAGAATTCCCTCTCGGAACAGCTCAATCCCACTTCTCCTTTAAGATGTTCTTTAAACCTATCTTTTTCACTGAGCTTTCGGACATTGCCCTGATAAAACCTTACGAGGCCTGCTGCCAATTTCTTTGTTCATTCACTGGATGAGGGCATCACTTTTAGGCAGCATTTATCACCCAGAGGGTAGTTAAGAGTCAACCACATTGCTGTGCGTCTGGAGTCACATGTAGGGCCAGACCAGGTAAGGATGGCAGTTTCCTTCCCTAAAGGACTTTAGTGAACCTGATGGGTTTTTCCTGATAATCGATAATTTTCCGTGGTAGTCACTCCAGTGGAAGTTCCTCAGGGGGCTTTTGCTGCTTCTGGAGGCAGTATATAAATGTAGACATGCATGTTGTTGTTGTTATTGTTGCAGGCCCAGCAGTGATCGGTTGGGGGTGAAGGTTCAGGAGATGGCCATGGAGGTGACAACACCCATGATGGAAGCAGCTTCCAAAGGCCTGCTGGGCACCAAGCATCGCATCTCCACAGTGACGTCCCCTCTCAGGGCGGCCTATCGGATTCGCCACAAGTACCTTGTCATGAAGAGGCGGCGAGTGAGCGTGGAACAGAGCGAGGCCGCAGGAGATGAAGGGCCAGGAGGCAGGTACCTACCTACCAAAGGCCAGGACCCCCTGGAAGGAGCCTTCAAACACAGAGCCAAATCGGCCGAACATTTCACTTTCGAGAAGGTGCCAGTCAAAACCGTGAAGAGGAAGCGCTCCAACAAGAGACGCAAAGTGCTGTATCCAAGTGACACCAGGAAGTACCTGCCTGAGGAGAAGAAAAGCAAGGCCAAGAACTGCCTGTTCCTGCTGAGCCTCATCGTTTTCTTCCAGATATACAATGCCATCGAGAACCTGGATGATAACGTGCTGAAGTACGACTTGGCAGGGCTGGAGAAGACACTCAAGAGGGATGTCTTTGGTCAGACCGAAGCAATCAACACCCTGATGGATTTGCTGAGGGACTATCTGGCCACTCACATTCACAACAAGCCGCTGGTGCTGTCCTTCAATGGGCCCAGTGGGGTTGGAAAGAGCCTGGTTGGGAGACTGCTGGCTAAGCATTTCCGTTCAGTACTGAGAGACGAGCTGGTGTTACAGTATTTCGTCCTGCACCACTGCCCAGATCAGAACAACGGCACCAGCTGCCTGCAGGAATTGGCGGGGGGCATTGCCAACATGGTCAGCCAGGCAGAGGAAGAGGAGAAGATCCCTCTGCTCATCTTCGACGAGGTGGAGTTCATGCGGCCGGCCTTGTTGGATTTTCTCCAGGCCTACTTGCAGCCTCACCAGCCCAATGAGTTCCTGAACGCTGTCTATGTCTTAATCAGCAACTATGGGCAGGGCGAAATCACCAAGTTTGTGCTCCAGAATGCTTCCAGCGGCCTGGCGAGGGAACCGACCAGGTCGGAAGAGCTCCTCTTCAATGTGCAGTCATCGTTGAGCCAGTTCCACCCAATCTGGAACCACGCCGAAATCATCCCATTCACTCTCCTGGAGAGGATTCACATTGAGGGCTGCTTCCTGGAGGCAATGATGAGGGAGGGACACTACCCAGACACAACTCAGCTCAATGACCTCTCCAGGGAGTTGAACTATTACTCAGCAGGGAGTCACCAGTATTCCATTCATGGCTGCAAGTACGTTGGCTCCAGAGTGAGCTTGTTGCATTGAGACCCCACGTTCCCATACTGTGCGCCAAGCTGACAGCACCAAAGGCTTGGCATCTCCCAGGTTTGGCAGGCTCCACTGGGTACCCACCCCCAGGTCCCGGGGTGGGGCGGGGTGGGGGGAGGGGGGTAGGTGGCAGACACACTCTTCCACTGAGAATTTCAGGAGAGGCAGAGCAAGAATTGTGGACGGGTAGGTGGTCTGCCATTGTTGGCTGTCCCAGTCTGTATTCAGCATTGAGGATGACCAGCCCAGGCCACTGGTCACTGGAGGGTCACTGATTAATATGGACCAAGAGTGGTCAATGTGACAGTGAAGTGAGTAAGAGAGGGAGAGATGGCAATTCCAAAGGGGCACCTCCTCACCTGGGCATTCCCTCACTGTGATCACTCCCTCACTGCGATCACTCCCTCATTATGGTCACTCCCTCA